AGCAGTCTAAATTAAAAGGCTTGACTGAGGTGTTGTAAAGCTACTTACAGGGCAATGTGTAAACTGGTTATAATTCTTGAAGCTGTCTAGCAAAACTTATATAACAGTATACTCTCATTTCAAGTGACAAGAGGATCACCATTCTCTGCCTGGTTCAGCAGAAGGTTTGCTTAGACCAATACAGATCTTCACAGGAATAGTGCAGTAGTCGAATTTTTAAGCCAGTGGTGAGAGGTAACCTGTATCTTACACTAAGGCTGCTGCTAAGCACATGTACCGATAATCCCAGGCCCCAAAATCATGTTCTAGTGATATGTAGCTGCCTTGGAACAGCTCCTCCTAAAGCTCCAATCATTTACTTTGCTTCAGGAATTGTTTACAATCCCTGCACGTGGGGCCTGCCAGAGACGAGCCAGGTATCCAAGGCATATGAGTTTAGTGGGGCTAGGCCCAGATACCAGGGTCCTCTCCAGCTCTGGAAGGGGAGGAGGCAGATGACAGTGCGGGGAAGGGGGGGAGGGGGGGAGAGGAAGCCCAGATGCCGGAGCAGTCCCTGGAGGGAGCCCTGTCTTGTTTACACAGGGAGTAGGGGGAGGGAGTGACTCTGGAGTGGCCCCTCTGGCCCACCCCCAACACAGGGGCACTCCCCATGCCACAGTCCTACTGCCTTCCCTGTCTCAGCTGCCCCCAGGTCTTGGGGCAACAAGCCCCATGCTCAAATTCCTGGCTGGGGGATAAAGAACTGCCTAGGGTTGGTTTTAAATTGATTTCATAGTGTGACCCCTGGTTCTTATCTGGAGAGGGACACTCAGTAAATCCCCATGGATTTACTGAGTGCCCCTCTCCAGCATCTCTTTTCTGCACTGATCAGGTCTGGCCTCAGTGTCTCCTACGGAAGCCCCTCCAGGCTGCCAGTCATCATTGTTGCTCTTCTCTGTACACTCTCTAGTCCCTACCTCTCCTTGCAGAGGTGTGAGGACTGGAACTGGGCACAGCATTGGAGGGCTGGATGCATCATGGATATACCAGGGGCTTGCAGTCCTTTCTGTTGCGCTCATAATTCCCTTCATCATCCCTGACATACCTGAAGTTGCTGACACCTTCCCTCCTCTGCCCTGTAGGCTGCACTGTCCCATCCAGCAGTCCTACAATGAGGCCAGGAATGTTTGGCCTCTGCAGTGCAAATATATTCTACACATAGGGGGTCTGCTCTTGAGTGGAAAAGAAAATCAGGTGAGATATTAGGAAAAACTCTCTCACTAAGAAAGCAGTGAAACACTGGAACAGGCTACCCAGAAAGATTGTAGAATCTCTATACTCAGAGGATTTTAATACCCAGGTAGACAAAGTCTTGTCTTATATATTTGGGAATGGTCCTGCTTTGAACTGGTGGTTACACTAGATGACTTCCTGAGGTCTCCTCCAACTGTCATTTTCTATGATTTTATGATTCTATAAATGCACTTCCACTAAGTCTAGTTTAGCCACTTTAACCAAGACATTTGGTTAAAAATTATTAGAAAATGTTTTTAGCCGATGTTAATATTTAGGACAATGTCTTCGGAGTTATCATGAAAAATCTTGACATATAGCAGGCAAAGGTTTCTTCAGTACTGCAATGTCAGGCTGTGGACAGATATAATGATATACTATTTCGAGGCCGGGGGGGAGACTCATCAGAAGCAGGGGTGTACTGATAAAAATTTTTTTGGACAGTACTGATGGCCAATTATTAACCAGCCATATCAGCCGATACCGATCCGATTGCTGATATGCATCCTGGCAGCTTGGAGGCCAATGTCCGGCTGGTAAGCCTGCAGGGGGGGGAAGGGGTATGTGGGAGGAAAGGGGCATGGGGGCCACAAATCAAGGCCCCCACAGTAAGGAAGGGAGTGGGGCTGGGGCAGGTGCCCCTAGGGGCAGGCCCTCCTATCCCCCCACAGCTCTGTCCCAGTCCTGCCCCCCTAACCCTCGACCTTTGCCACCAGAAGTCCCTTCCCTTGCCCCTGGAAGTACTCCTTTCAGCAAGGGATTTTGCCATCTCAGAACCAGAAAAATACCAAATTATATTCTAAAAATCTAACATCCACATCACACTTTAATTAGATTTCAAAAAATCTTTTTGTTTTGATTTACATGCGTTTGTGTAGTGCGTACGGAGGTGATTCGACAATAGCTTAAAATGAAGTCTGCCTCTTGTATATATTTTGGGAGAAGGAGGGCATGGGTTTGTCTGGGGGGGTGGATAGTTGTGTGGGTGTGGGATAAGGGAGCATGTGGCTGTATGTGTGGCTATGTGGGGTGGGGGTGGGGGGGTGGCTACAGTGTGTGAAGGGGTCTGCATGTATGGCACTGCAAGGTGGGGTGTGGGTATACGTGTATGCTGGAGTGTGCATGTGGGACTCCCCTACGAACAGACACACACACACACACACACACACACACACACACACACTCCCTTCCTCCGTGCACGCATGCATGTGCAATCACACACACACACACTCCTGGCCCCAGAGTACCGGTGCAGGGCTATGCTTCTGTGAGCCAGTGATGCTGGGGGCCATGTGGTGCTGGAGCAGCCGGTGGGTGTGCAGGGAAACAGTGAAAGTTGCAGCAGGAAGAGGATTCTGGTTGGGGGGGCAGTGATGGGAAGGAGCTAGAGGTGGGGTGGGGCCGGGCCAGCCTTCCTCTGGGTCCTACCGCCTCTGGCTCCTGTCATCTCTGACAGGCAGCCAGGAGCAGATAAATATATTTTTTCTAAAATTTTTAGGGGCCCCACGGGCTGGACAGAATGGCTTAGTGGGACAGCTCTGGCCCGCAGGCCATATTTTGCCTGCCCCTGACAAAGACCGAGTCTTTCGGTTTAAGTTGATATGTTTTATTAGACCAACTTGGAGGCGGGTTCATGTTTCTAGCAGGCTTTTGGGAATCCGTCAGCATACGCAGGGGTCACCCCCTTCTGCGCTCCACTTAGCTTGAAAAAGGATACTGTATTATCTGAAAGCTTGCTAGAAACATCAACCCACCTCCAAGTTGGTTTAATAAGATATCAACTCGAACCAAAAGTCTCTGTCTATCATGTACAAGCTCCAGACCAAAATGGCTGACCCCAAAAGAAAATTCCCCTTACACAATGTTTTCCAGAATGTGTATTATTAGTAAAATACTGCACACATGTGCACCCATCCTAGCCTTCAAACACCGAACCTCGCCAACCTCATCACCAGAAGCAAACTTCCTGAAGTCCAAAACACACCAAAAAGATCCAGACCATGCCATAACAAGAAATGCAAAACCTGCCAACACATCTCCACCACCCCCACAATTACTACACCCCACAACAGAGCCATCAGCATCCCTGGATCTTATAGCTGCACCTCCAGAAATGTAATATACCTCATCCAATGCACCAAATGCCCTGATGGAAAATACATAGGACAGACCAAACAACAACTGCACACCAGAATGAACGCACACCGGAAATCTATCAAAGACAGGAATACCCAATTACCGGTGGGGGCACATTTCTCACAGGAAGGCCACTCTCTCTCCAATCTCTCAGTCCTGATCCTCAAGGGAAACTTACACAACACTTCCCAGAGACGAGCCTATGAGTTCCATTTCATCAACCTCCTGGATACTAGAGATCATGGACTAAACATAGACATTGGATTTTTGACACATTATAATCTGCCTGGCAACTGACTCCCCAGCCCAGCCCCTGGCTTCTTTACTTTTCATTCCATCCAGGAAGAGAGCACACCAACTGCTGAAACTTCCTTAGCCTGACGAAGGGTTTTTGAACCCGAAAGCTTGCTTAATAACTATTCTCCAACCATTTGGGTTGGTCTAATAAAAGATATCAAATTCACCCAAGGAACCTTGTCTGCACACATGTGCAGCACACACACACATTCTGGAAAACTGTGTAAGGGGAATTTTCTTTTGGGGTCAGCCATTTTGGTCTGGAGTTTGTACATGATAGACAGAGTCTTTTGGTTCGAGTTGATATCTTATTAAACCAACTTGGAGGTGGGTTGATGTTTCTAGCAAGCTTTCAGATAATACAGTATCCTTTTTCAAGCTAAGTGGAGCGCAGAAGGGGGTGACCCCTGCATATGCTGACGGATTCCCAAAAGCCTGCTATAGGAAAACAAGATGACCCAGTTGTCATGGAGCGATCAGTGCACAAAGGTCCCCTGAACTACCTGGAAAAGAATGTTGCCCGAAACAAGAAATTCCCAGTCAAACTAACTATTACAATTTGGGGTCCTGAAAGCTGCCACCACTTCATGAATATTTAGGATGTGAAAAAAAATGGTTGCAAAGAACAGGAGCATTATGAGAGGCAACTGTCGCATGGCTGTATGAGGTTGCCATCCCAAAGGGATGGAGAAGGCAGGCACCAAATCAGATATTTTTGCTAAGAAAGTTTCAGGCAGAAATCAAATCACAGCAGGGTCACAAAATCTGAATGGTAGGATATTGAGGCACCTTAAATATTAATCTTTTAAATTACAGATGCATATTTATAACTATTCACAACATGCTATCAGATACTGAACTGGCTTTCTTGCACACCTTTGTGCTAAAATGCAGCAGTATGTTGCAAGCCTTGCAGGAGAGTAGAAATAGTTAAGTCAGTCTCATTTACCTTGTACTTCTGGGTATAGAGACATATAGAGGAGACACCACAGAAGTGTGTTAGTGGTGGTGTCAGTGCCTGCAATAAAAAGGTCACCAATGATAAAAAACAGGTAGTCTTCATTAAAGCTGCTCTCCTTGTTTTTCTTTTTTTCCTCGTCCACCTGGAGGAGGTACATATCAATAAAATCCTGGGGATTTTCTGGATCCAAGTTCTCTCTGTGCTGTGCAATTATTCTTTTTAGGAAAGCAGTAATATCTAACTCAGCTTGCCTCAGTTCTCTGAAAGGCCCAAAGGGGAGGTAGTAAAGCCAAGGACAGATGTTGACCAGAATTACACTGCTGTTTATGCATACCTGTAGGCCACGTGACATGAGACTCAACAAGGTCGTAAACTCAACATCTTCATAATCAAAGCGCCTGCCAAAAGCCAGAGTGCAGATAATATTGGACACTCCATTGCTAATGATTGAAAAGGGGTTGAATGGCTCTTTTCCATGTGTTTGTATTTCTTCCTTAATATATTTCAGTTCTTCAATAATTTTAGGTTCCAGGCTGTTCTTCCCTAATCCAAAATGGCGAAGAGTTGTATGAGAGAACTTCCTCTGCTGCTTCCATACTGGGCCATAAGGTGCAAATACAATTCCTGAAAGAGAGAAATGGAATCCAAGTTGAATTGCTTTATTTTCCAAGAGGATGTGTTAATAGCCCTCCACACCTACAACCAGAGCAGGAAATAAGAGTCCAAAAAAGAGGATGGTTTTGTAATTAAGGCACAGAAGTTGAAGCCAGAGAGAGAGATTACTCTGTTCTCCAATTCATTCTAACTCATTATGTGGGCAACTCTTGTCTCTCAACTTTCTAATTTGTATATTGGATATGAAAGATACCCAATAGGCTTAATTGGTGTTTGTAATGCATTTGAAAGTCCTCAGTCAGAACACACCATTAGAGTATAATTACCTCTAAACATCTTGAAATAATTTCACAGGATGATCACGTTTGGTAACTATGTTAGCAGTAGCTATTAAATACTAGCAAACTGCCCGTCAAGAATGATTGGGGGGGGAGGGGGAAGGGAGACAGAGCACCACCACTGCCTCCCAGAAGCAGAGGGGAGCTTGCCCTGCCATCCCCCTCTGCCAGTACCCCATGCTTCCACTGCTTCCAGCACCGCTGGTCTCGCATCCCCAGCCCCACTCCTTGGAGGCAGCAGAGCGCCGCCAGGACAGTGGGGTGAGGCCTGCGCTGCGGGCCTTGCCTCTGCACTCCATCTCCTCCATCATGATGGCACTCCACACTCTGATTGGCTGTTTCACTAACCAATCAGAGTGCTCCAAGAGTGTTATGGACAGACAGAAAGATGGACTAAGCCCTTTATTATATAATGAATTTAGGCTCAAATCTCATGGGTAAGATGCAGATGACCAAATATTCAAGCACAATTTGTTCTGCACGGTGACATTATTGGTCTTTCTTCTCTGTAGGGTACAGGTGCTTCTCAGTCCAACTAGTACATGTATAAATTCATATTAAAGGGGACAAACAATTGGCCCCCAAAATAATTGTTTTATACAACATATATTAGGCAATAGGCTATGAAAGCTGGAAGCAAGTTGTGACTGTACATTTAAATCCTAAATGTAAATGTTACTAAAAAATACACTCAGGTTTATATCCCTAAGGGATTTACCAAAGCTCTGGACACACGTTTTTATAGGTGTGTTTTCACACATGGCTTGCTCTTATAGATTCATAGATGTTAGGGTCGGAAGGGACCTCAATAGATCATCGAGTCCGACCCCCTGCATAGGCAGGAAAGAGT